TTAAGGATCTGAGCAAGTTGCTATATTTACTTGAGACCTTCCAGAAGCAAACAGGCAATGCAGGTTAAAAAAAAAAAAAAAGGAAGTTAAACAATGATTTGCTACATTTGAAAGAAACAAGTTTTTCACGTGGCGCCAAACCTTTCCTAATGCTGCACCCCTTTCTCTGCTGTTCTCCAACCAGAGCCGTCTGAGGAAGTGGTGTCATCAGCTTAATTAAAAGCACTTTGGGGGTGGGGAGAGGTAGAGCTCAGGGGTACAGCATGTGCTTAGCATGCATGAGGTCCTGGGTTCAATCCCCAGTGCCTCCATTAAAAAAAAGCCAAACCAAAAACAAATAAAATGAGCACTAAAAATACTGCCTTCTCCTTGGCTGTGCTGTGACCTGTGTAATTCCTTCCTCCTGGCTGGCTTTTACCAAAACGAGTGACCCAGCCTCACAGGACCGGTCACTGCTAGTGTTACAACAGCTGATGGATGTGGGAGCCGCTTCCACACTTGCTCTTTTGGGACCAAGTGTGGAGTTAGGTAAACAGCGACCTCGCTCCTGGCCAAGCAGTTTTACTGACATGGTAACAAAAGCTATAAGTAGCTGTCAATTTACTTACTCGGTTTCTTTTGGCTTTTGTGTTTCTCATCTCAAGATGCTAACTCTGGGGAAACCTGAAACACTACTGTTTTCTGCTTAATTTTTGTCACTATGAGAGCAATGCCTGCTCATTAAAGCAATGGAAGAGAATAGGGAAAAGTTAAGAAGCTACGCATACTCCCCACCGCTTGTGTACAAACACTGTTCGTATTTCCTTTGATTCTGAAACACGTTTATGAAGTCTCTATATGTTATGTTTGCAGGATTCAAATAACTGGAAATGAGAAATGTGCTCCATCTGCTCTGGAAACTCGACATTCTTAAATAGCAATTGAAGCCTAAACTATTTCAGTTGAGTTACACTTCGACCAACCCAAGTGGCTGGTTTATAGGTCTTGAAACCTCGTGGAAGACTTTGTATCAGCAGAGACCACACACCCCGGATTCCTGGATCCTGCGGGGTGTTTTCCTTCCCTGAGGATTTCGGATGCATTCTTCTCATTTGAAAGCTTCGCGTCTTACTCAACCACCTCTGTATCTAAACTATGTCAAAGATACACAGACGTGAGATGACATCACACAGCTGATTTTGTCCTTTCAGCCTTGTGTTTGGCTCACGCTGAGCAGCAGTGATGAGTCACGCCTCCTGTGACCAGCCGGGCACTTTTCCAATCGAGAAGACGGTTGAGATCTCTTGACAACAAGACCTGTCATTGTTTGAAGAGCACGTATCAACAGTGACCTGTACGCTTGGTGATCCAGGCTTGTGTGATTAACAAAATGCCTTCCTCTCCCTGCTGAATAACAGAACAGCAACCATGAGGTGGCACTTAGTATAGCTGACTCACTTCCTC